TTTTTCAATTTTGGAATATTTGAATAGAGTTTACTGGTTGAACATCCCTGATCTGAAAATTTGGAATTCAAAACACTCCCAAATCTGACACTTTTGAGTGTCATGATAGTACTAAAAGTTTCAGATCTTAGGTTAATGATTTTAAATTTCAGACTTTTGGATTTTGGATGCTCAACCTATATCCTATAAAATTACCTTCAGTCTATGTGTATAAAGTATACACAAAATGTAAATGAATTCTAGGTTTAGATTTGGGTCTCATTCCTAAGATTTTTGTCCCATTATGTATATATAAATATCCAAGATCCAAAAAATTTGAAATCTAAAACACTTCTGGTCCCAAGTATTTCAGATAAGGAGGGATAATGTAAAGTATACAACTTTATATTATATATAACATGAGTCTTATATGTGTTATATTTACTAGCCTTATATATAACATTACATTTTATGTATTATGTGTATGTGTGTATACACATACACACACACACACACACACACACACACACAGAGTTATACACAAGACCACATATGCAACTATAGTCTGATAAGATTATATCAACTTCTATTCAGTAGCCATCTTTTTGTTTGGCAGGGGCAAGGGTTGGGGGTGGGGGCACTAGTCACATCCCCAGCCTTCTTTTATATTTTGAGACAGGGTCTAAGTTGCTCAGGGCCTCGTTAAGTTGCTGAAGGTGACTTTGAACTTCCGATCCTCCTACCTCAGCCTCCCAAACCTCTGGGATTACAGGCATGTGCCACCACATCTGGTCTCAGTAGTCAATCTTAATAATGATGTCCACACAATAATGAAATCATCTAATAATACATTCCTCAGAATTTATACTAGTCTTGCTTTACTGACCTAACACATTCCAAAATGTTGATTATTTCACAAAAGACTTGTTAACTTTTATTCAAATAGTATAGGGTATGTTTAAATGAAATATCAAAATAAGTCATATAGGGAATGGGGTTGTGGCTCAGTGGTAGAGTGCTGGCCTAGCATGCATGAGGCACTGGGTTCGATCCTCAGCAACATATAAAAATAAAATAAAGGTATTATGCCCATCTATAACTAAAAAATAAATATTAAGAAAAGTCATATAAAGGAGACAAATATTAATCGTGTAATTTCATGATTAATATTAAAACATTATTTAGAAGCCAGGCATGGTGGTATATGCTTGTAATTCGAGCAACTAGGGAGGTTGAGGCAGGAGAATTACGAGTTTGAGGCCAGCCTAGGCAACAGGATCCTGTGTCAAACATAAAAATTTTTGAGCCCAGTGTAGTGGCACACACCTGTAATCCCCATGGCTCAGGAGGCTGACACAGGAGGATCATGGGTTCAAAGCCAGCCTCAGCAACAATAAGGCGCTAAGCAACTAAGTGTCTCTAAATAAAAATACAAAATAGAACTGGGGATGTGATTGAGTATCCCTGAGTTCAATTGCCAGTACAAAAAAAAATTAAAAGGGCTGGCTATGTAGCTCAGTGGCAAACTATATGACTACTAAGTTTTAGGCTCTGGGTTCAATCCCCACTATCAAAAAAATCCAAAACAACAACAACAACAACAACAAACTTAAGATAATTCAAAATATAATAACTAATTAGAACTAAAACATATATATTATATATACATATATGAAATACATATAAAAATTAAAATAAGATCTGGGGATGTAGCTCAGTTGTAGAGTGCTTGTCAAGCACATGCAAGGCCTGGGTTCAATCCCAACACTACAAAAACAAACAAAAAATATATACATACACATGTACACACATGAAATCTAAGACTTAAAGGTTCTGAAATTAATATTTTCAAATTTCTTAATATCAAAATGTGGCTGAGAGCCACATTAAAAAAATAAATAAAATATAACTTAAAAAAAAAAAAAGTGAGCCCTCAAACCATTAGTAGATTCTAGGTTCCTACTGCAAAAGATTTTGATGATTAAGTTTGACACGGAACCCAGCAAGCTATATATTTTTTTCATTTTATTGGGGTTTTCTTTATACCTTTATTTTATTTACTTATTTTTTAGTGGTGCTGAGGATCAAACTGAATGCCTCACATCTGCTAGGCAAGCTCTCTACCACTGAGCCCAGCAATCTATATATATATTTTTTTCTTATATTTATTTTTTAGTTTTAGGTGGACACAATATCTTTATTTTATTTTTATGTGGTGCTGAGGATCAAACCCAGTGCCCTGCGCATGCCAGGCGAGCGTGCTACCACTTGAGCCACATCCCCAGCCCAGCAATCTACATTTTTAACAAGCAACTGGGTGATCCAAATGAGGCCAACTTAAGACTGCACCCTCACACTGATTCAGAAAAATATATACACCAAAAATTTAACAGAGGTCTTCTCTCTATAACAAAATTTTCAGTTGCCTGAGGGAAATGGGAAAGTTAAGGAGTAA